TCATCTATTAAACTCAACTACTGGCAAGTATTTGTGAAAAAAATCTTTGCAAATGATTTGACAACTATGACTACTTCATTTCTTCAGTCATCCAAGACCTCCAGTAAAAAACAAACAAAAAAAACCCCCAGGACCTGATATTTCTAATGTAAAAATAGAAAAACTTTTTTAAAAAAATCAAATATCTCTTTTAAATAATAAAGGAGGATAAAAGGGTGACATTGTGACAGAGTGTATTATCCATCTGGGTCCCAAGGCGGGCAGGAAAGCAACTTGAACAGAAAGCTATGGATTTCCAGTCCAAGCAGGCAGATGTTAGTCATCATTGCCAGGAAACAGCTAAAGCCTATTAAGGTATGTCTACACTGCAATTAAACACCCAGGGCTGGTCCATGTCAGCGGACCTGGGGTTGAGGGCTCTGGCTAAGGGGCTGTTTAACAGTGGTGTAGACATTCGGGCTCAGACTAGACTATTTCAATATGTACAACCCAGTGACAACATTGAAAGTCACCAAGAAACTATATTTAGTACAGCATGCAACAGCTTTATTTCTTAATGTGGAGAACCAATACCCATATCGCATCACACCAGTGATTTGCAGTCTTTTATTAATTTTCAGTACAGTTCCAGGTCACATTCAAGGTCCTGCTCTGCATCTTCAACATATTAAATGGACTAGAACGCTGCTTTCTCTTAGGCCATCTTTTCCTTTGACCTCAATGTGACAACTGCACTCTTTCAGGATGCTTTGAGTGTTGGAGCCCATATTTTAAATGTGAAGGCTGACAGCTACACAGATAAAGAGAAGAATCCCCTCTCACCTGCAAAAGTGTTCTGATTACACATAGTAGGGAAAGAATGCTTGAATCTCCAGAATGGGTATAAAGTGTTTACTAGCTGAAACTGTCTGGATAACCAAGACAAACTAAACTGCACACAAATTCAAAACAAAAGGAAATACAGTGAAATCAGAGAATCAAGGGTGACGGAGAAAAACAGAGGTCAAAAGAAATGCGCAGAATAAATATAATTTTGTTTCATTCAGCTTTTTGTAAAATAACTTTAAAAGAAGTTTATAAAACGAACTAGACTGTTAAGCTATGGGGAGTATCTTTACCGTCTCTTTCCAAACTCTCATCTTCTTCTGCCTATTATCTCTACTCCCCTACAATGTATACAATGCAAGGACAGTAGATATATAGCAACAAAGAGTTCAGTAAAGACTAATTATTCACTGAAGTGATGGTGTAGTGTACTTTACCTCTTTTTTTACTAATACAATTTAAGAAAGTATATATTTTACTCACCAAGAAGGGATGGCTCATTAAACACATATTTGGGAGATCAACATTTAAAACAGTTAATACCACTAGAATTTTTAGATAATCTTGTTCAAGATCACATCCTCCTTGAATGAACTGAAAAACTAACTCTGACTTTCTTTGTTCTCTTAGGGCATGTCTACACTACGGAATAAGGTCGAATTTATAGAAGTCGTTTTTTTAGAAATCGGTTTTATATATTCGAGTGTGTGTGTCCCCACAGAAAATGCTCTAAGTGCATTAAGTGCATTAACTCGGCGGAGTGCTTCCACAGTACCGAGGCTAGAGTCGACTTCCGGAGCATTGCACTGTGGATAGCTATCCCACACTTCCCGCAGTCTCCGCTGCCCATTGGAATTCTGGGTTGAGATCCCAATGCCTGATGGGGCTAAAACATTGTCGTGGGTGGTTCTGGGTACATATCGTCAGGCCCCCCTTCCCTCCCTCCCTCCATGAAAGCAAGTGCAGACAATCGTTTCGCGCCTTTTTTCCTGAGTTACCTGTGCAGATGCCATACCACGGCAAGCATGGAGCCCGCTCAGGTAACCGTCACCGTATGTCTCCTGGGTGCTGGCAGACGCGGTATGGCATTGCTACACAGTAGCAGCAACCCATTGTCTTGTGGCAGCAGATGGTACAGTACGACTGGTAGCCATCCTCGTCATGTCCGAGGTGCTCCTGGCCACGTCGGCTGGGAGCGCCTGGGCAGACATGGGCGCAGGGACTAAATTTGGAGTGACTTGACCAGGTCATTCTCTTTAGTCCTGCAGTCAGTCCTATTGAACTGTCTTATGGTGAGCAGGCAGGCAATACGGATTGCTAGCAGTCCTATTGCATCATCCTCTGCCGGGCAGGCAAGAGATGAGGATGGCTAGCAGTCCTACTGCACCATCTTCTGCTGAGCAGCCATGAGATGTGGATGGCATGCAGTCCTTCTGCACCGTCTGCTGCCAGCCAAAGATGTAAAAGATAGATGGAGTGGATCAAAACAAGAAATAGACCAGATTTGTTTTGTACTCATTTGCCTACTCCCCCGTCTAGGGGACTCATTCCTCTAGGTCACACTGCAGTCACTCACAGAGAAGGTGTAAAAAGAAAAGGAGTACTTGTGGCACCTTAGAGACTAACCAATTTATTTGAGCATGAGCTTTCGTGAGCCACAGCTCACTTCATCAGATGTGTACCGTGGAAACTGCGAATACAGACTAACACGGCTGTTCCTCTGAAACCTGTCATTATGCAAGGCACTGCATTTAGCCGTATGGAGTGGAAATCTATCTGGCAGTTTCCACGGTACACATCTGATGAAGTGAGCTGTGGCTCACGAAAGCTCATGCTCAAATAAATTGGTTAGTCTCTAAGGTGCCACAAGTACTCCTTTTCTTTTTGCGAATACAGACTAACACGGCTGTTCCTCTGAAACCTGTCAGAGAAGGTGCAGTGAGGTAAATCTAGCCATGTATCAATCAGAGGCCAGGCTAACCTCCTTGTTCCAATAAGAACAATAACTTAGGTGCACCATTTCTTATTCGAACCCTCCGTGAAGTCCTGCCTGAAATACTCCTTGATGTAAAGCCACCCCCTTTGTTGATTTTAGCTCCCTGAAGCCAACCCTGTAAGCCGTGTCCTCAGTCGCCCCTCCCTCCGTCAGAGCAATGGCAGACAATCGTTCCACGCCTTTTTTCTGTGCGGACGCCATACCAAGGCAAGCATGGAGGCCGCTCAGCTCACTTTGGCAATTAGGAGCACATTAAACACCACACGCATTATCCAGCAGTATATGCAGCACCAGAACCTGGCAAAGCGATACCGGGCGAGGAGGCGACGTCAGCGCAGTCACGTGAGTGATCAGGACATGGACACAGATTTCTCTGAAAGCATGGGCCCTGCCAATGCATGCATCATGGTGCTAATGGGGCAGGTTCATGCTGTGGAACACCGATTCTGGGCTCAAGAAACAAGCACAGACTGGTGGGACCGCATAGTGTTGCAGGTCTGGGACGATTCCCAGTGGCTGCAACACTTTCGCACGCGTAAGGGCACTTTCATGGAACTTTGTGACTTGCTTTCCCCTGCCCTGAAGCGCATGAATACCAAGATGAGAGCAGCCCTCACAGTTGAGAAGCGAGTGGCGATAGCCCTTTGGAAGCTTGCAACGCCAGACAGCTACCGGTCAGTTGGGAATCAATTTGGAGTGGGCAAATCTACTGTTGGGGCTGCTGTGATGCAAGTAGCCCACGCAATCAAAGATCTGCTGATATCAAGGGTAGTGACCCTGGGAAATGTGCAGGTCATAGTGGATGGCTTTGCTGCAATGGGATTCCCTAACTGTGGTGGGGCCATAGACGGAACCCATATCCCTATCTCGGCACCGGAGCACCAAGCCGCCAAGTACATAAACCGCAAGGGGTACTTTTCAATAGTGCTGCAAGCTCTGGTGGATCACAAGGGACGTTTCACCAACATCAACGTGGGATGGCCGGGAAAGGTACATGACGCTCGCATCTTCAGGAACTCTGGTCTGTTTCAAAAGCTGCAGGAAGGGACTTTATTCCCAGACCAGAAAATAACTGTTGAGGATGTTGAAATGCCTATATGTATCCTTGGGGACCCAGCCTACCCCTTAATGCCATGGCTCATGAAGCCGTACACAGGCAGCCTGGACAGTAGTCAGGAGCTGTTCAACTACAGGCTGAGCAAGTGCAGAATGGTGGTAGAATGTGCATTTGAACGTTTAAAGGCGCGCTGGCGCAGTTCACTTAGACCTCAGCGAAACCAATATTCCCACTGTTATTACTGCTTGCTGTGTGCTCCACAATATCTGTGAGAGTAAGGGGGAGACATTTATGGCAGGGTGGGAGGTTGAGGCAAATCGCCTGGCTGCTGGTTACGTGCAGCCAGACACCAGGGCAGTTAGAAGAGCACAGGAGGGCGCGGTACACATCAGAGAAGCTTTGAAAACCAGTTTCATGACTGGCCAGGCTACGGTGTGAAAGTTCTGTTTGTTTCTCCTTGATGAAACCCCTCGCCCCTTGGTTCACTCTACTTCCCTGTAAGCTAACCACCCTCCCCTCCTCCCTTCGATCACCGCTTGCAGAGGCAATAAAGTCATTGTTGCTTCACATTCATGCATTCTTTATTCATTCATCACACAAATAGGGGGATGACTACCAAGGTAGACCAGGAGGGGTGGTGGAGGAGGGAAGGAACATGCCACACAGCACTTTAAAAGTTTACAACTTTAAAATTTATTGAATGCCAGCCTTCTGTTTTTTGGGCAATCCTCTGTGGCGGAGTGGCTGGTTGGCCGGTGGCCCACCCACCGCGTTCTTGGGAGTCTGGGTGTGGAGGCTATGGAACTTGAGGAGGAGGGCGGTTGGTTACACAGGGGCTGCAGTGGCAGTCTGTGCTCCAGCTGCCTTTGCTGCAGCTCAACCATACACTGGAGCATACTGGTTTGCTCCTCCAGAAGCCTCAGCATTGAATCTTGCCTCCTCTCATCACGCTGCCGCCACATTTGAGCTTCAGCCCTGTCTTCAGCCCACCACTTACTCTCTTCAGCCCGCCACCTCTCCTCCTGGTCATTTCGTGCTTTCCTGCACTCTGATATTATTTGCCTCCACGCATTCGTCTGTGCTCTGTCAGTGTGGGAGGACAGCATGAGCTCGGAGAACATTTCATCTCGAGTGCATTTTTTTTTTCTTTCTAAGCTTCACTAGCCTCTGGGAAGGAGAAAATCCTGTGATCATTGAAACACATGCAGCTGGTGGAGAAAAAAAAAGGACAGCGGTGTTTAAAAAGACACATTTTATAAAACAGTGGCTACACTCTTTCAGGGTAAACCTTGCTGTTAACATTACATACATAGCACACGTGCTTTCGTTACAAGGTCGCATTTTGCCTCCCCCGACCACGTGGCTACCCCCTCAACCCTCCCCCCTCCCTGTGGCTAACAGTGGGGAACATTTCTGTTTAGCCACAGGCAAACAGCCCAGCAGGAATCGGCTCCTCTGAGTGTCCCCTGAAGAAAAGCACTCTATTTCAACCAGGTGACCATGAATGATATCTCACTCTCCTGAGGATAACACAGAGAGATAAAGAACGGATGTTGTTTGAACGCCAGCAAACATACACTGCAATGCTTTGTTGTACAATGATTCCCGAGTATGTGTTACTGGCCTGGAGTGGTAAAGTGTCCTACCATGAAGGACGCAATAAGGCTGCCCTCCCCAGAAACCTTTTGCAAAGGCTTTGGGAGTACATCCAGGAGAGCCGCGAATGCCAGGGCAAAGTAATCCTTCCACATGCTTGCTTTTAAACCATGTATAGTATTTTAAAAGGTACACTCACCAGAGGTCCCTTCTCCGCCTGCTGGGTCCAGGAGGCAGCCTTGGATGGGTTCGGGGGGTACTGGCTCTAGGTCCAGGGTGAGAAACAGTTCCTGGCTGTTGGGAAAACCGGTTTCTCCGCTTGCTTGCTGTGAGTTATCTACAACCTCATCATCATCTTCTTCATCCCCAAAACCTGCTTCCGTATTGCCTCCATCTCCATTGAAGGAGTCAAACAACATGGCTGGGGTAGTGGTGGCTGAACCCCCTAAAATGGCATGCAGCTCATCATAGAAGTGGCATGTTTGGGGCTCTGACCCAGAGCGGCCGTTCGCCTCTCTGGTTTTCTGGTAGGCTTGCCTCAGCTCCTTAAGTTTCATGCGGCACTGCTTCGGATCCCTGTTATGGCCTCTGTCCTTCATGCCCTGGGAGATTTTGACAAAGGTTTTGGCATTTCGAAAACTGGAACGGAGTTCTGATAGCACGGATTCCTCTCCCCATACAGCAATCAGATCCCGTACCTCCCGTTCGGTCCATGCTGGAGCTCTTTTGCGATTCTGGGACTCCATCATGGTCACCTCTGCTGATGAGCTCTGCATGGTCACCTGCAGCTTGCCACGCTGGCCAAACAGGAAATGAGATTCAAAAGTTCGCGGTTCTTTTCCTGTCTACCTGACCAGTGCATCTGAGTTGAGAGTGCTGTCCAGAGCGGTCACAATGGAGCACTCTGGGATAGCTCCCGGAGGCCAATACCGTCGAATTGTGTCCACAGTACCCCAAATTTGAGCCGGCAAGGCCGATTTAAGCGCTAATCCACTTGTCAGGGGTGGAGTAAGGAAATCGATTTTAAGAGCCCTTTAAGTCAAAATAAAGGGCTTCATCGTGTGGACGGGTGCAGGTTTACATCGATTTAATGCTGCTAAATTCGACCTAAAGTCCTAGTGTAGACCAAGGCTTACATAAAAGGATAGTGTGATTAGCTATTACTGCTACTTTTCTACCCTGCATATCCTTAGAGTGAAAATTGCATTTTCCTTTCCAAATTTTACATTTAACAAGTGCGGATTTTTTGCTGTTTTCAGTAACTGAAGTTAACTTGGTTCTCGAAGTTGTCTCCATAGCTATTATTTGTCCATTATCTCTTATTTTACTTCTTAAAACTCCTACTTTTAATTCCTTCATATAGGAGGAATATCCCGCACTTTTTTCCTTTGTACAAGGAAACTTTTGGCTACAAAGTCTACCAAAAATTCTCCATTAGCTGTCAGCAGAAGTATTGCTGATAGCATTTAAACTTTCAACAGCTGTTACGGAGAGACTTTGATACCCCCTCCCCCCCAAAAAAAGTTAATATGAATCATTAAATACACGCACCATGTTAAGGCAGTGTTTAAATACTTCTGAAAAATGGGAAGTGTAAAACAATATATAGCTTAATATTGTTAATTCTGTATTAAGATATGTACCTATATGTGTAAAGACAACGTAACTGCAATGTCTTATTGTAAAAGCTCCAAAAATCAAATAAATTCTCCCCCCAAAACCAGTTACTTTCTTAAAAAGAAGTATGTTTTCTTACAGTTAACTGAATTCCAGAACACAGTAAATCCGATTAATGTGCAATTCATATTAACTGTGCAATATAAGACAAAGAAATAGAAGGCGGCAATTTTTAAAAAAGGTAACTTTTCACAGCCCCATAATTTGTCTGAGTTTTCACTTGTAGGATAAGACTAAAACTGAACAGTGTAAGCAAAAAAGGGAATAGGACAAATAGGGGGAGTTGGAAAGTAGTGAAGAATAGACGTCAAAATAAAACAACTCTTCAAACTTAATTATGGAACCACTGCAGTGATTCCATAATAGCTAGCAGCCCAGATAAAATATAAAACTTTAAAAGGGTTACAGTGACTGGATAATAGTTTTTAACAGTACTTGTCACTAGAAAGATAAAATGTACTTAACCACCCATAATTTTTCCTTTCCTGAAATGGACACCTAGTTCTCAATGATCCATTGTGACTAGGTTATTCCTCTTCATCTTCCAAGAATGGAGGCTTCCTCCCCTCCCCCAATGTACTGCCAGCAGGTGGAGTTGTTCACACAAGTACTCCTTTTCTTTTTGCGAATACAGACTAACACGGCTGTTCCTCTGAAACCAGAGAACTTTGTGCCTTTTAACTCCCAACTCCCAAAGCTGAGAAGGCAAACTATAATTTCTGATTAATAAACATTACAAAGGACATCCAGGCAGGATACTCTATCTACTTATACATTTATTATACAAAAAATAGAAATGAAAATGTATGGCAAAGCAAGATCTCCCCATGAGGTAATCCTAAAATTTCTCCCTCTCTCTACAGAAAAACTCCATAAGAGACAAAGGAAGAACTGAGATATTTCATCTCCAACTGAAATGTAATGTAAAATTTGGTGAAATTGTAGGGGGGGGAAGCTCATGGAACACCAGGCGCCACTTCAGAGAAGGACAAATTACACATGGATACGTAAATTTTACTTCTCCCCCTCACACACACTTGCTGCACCATTAACCAGTACAACTGGGAAGTAGCCAACAGTAAAACTAATGTCCACAAACAGGAAACTTAAACTATCAAGAAAACTGAACCAAGAGGAAAAACAGTTCTTTTTTGTCTTTTTTTCCTTCATTTCTTCTTCTTCCTTCTGCCACCACATAAAGGGTTTTAATGAAGGAAAACCAAGAGACTGCAGAACCTTTCATCTAAGAGCCATATCAGACAAAGACAACACATCTATTTTTCAGTGATGGATAACACAATACATTAAAGACCAAGTAGTCATATGCCAAAACACTGAACTTCTCTGCACAGAAAATGGTCATATGCCTAACAGAGTGAGTTCCCACTGAAGAAGGGTGATGTTCTATGAACAATTTGTAGGCCTGACAAACTACTGTATTTATTCATCTGGAAATAGTGGCTATGGATGGATGCCTTGCATCCCTTCTTAGGTCACCCAACTAATCCTGAAATTGCATCAAATTTTTTTCCAAGGATTAGTCTTGCCTAAAGAGAATCTGAATGACCTGACCTCATCTAAAACGTGCAACTAATTATCCTACGTGTGGAAGGACTCGGCACAAAGGAAGTCAAATACCTTGATTCAAGGTTGGGGGACAGAAAACTCTAGTGCAGTCCTGAGAATTACCTCTAGGAAAAAATAAACTGCATATAAGGCTTCCAGATAAATACAGCCCCCAGACCTGCTAAGTCTTGTGGCCAATGTAACTGCCAACAAGAAAAACATTTAACAGTGAGAACAGGAAAAACTCCTTCATATAGTAAAAAAAAAAAAAAAGGGTTTAGGGATTACCTGATGTATTATGTTACTCTACTAGTCACCTGTCAGCATCTCTGTAGACACATATCTTTAAAGAATTGAGAGGATGAGGGTGGTGCAAAGAAGGGCTAGGGGAGGAAGGAATGTACAACGAGGCTTGTAACAAAGAAACGTGGACCTACAAGGAGCTCCAATATATCCCTGGTTGTAAGACAAAATAGAATTCTTGTTCTTCTGATAGCACAATGAAGATCAAGTTCTCTGAATCCCTTGAAAAGCCAAGATTTGTAAAGTTTCTAGATTTGAGTGGGAAATCCATGAGCTCTTCTCAATATTCATGGTCCAGAAAGTAAAACCTTTCAAATTTGAGGGCAAGAATCTCAGGTGCCGTAGGTCTAGGAGGTTGACGATCTTGGAACAAAACTTTTCCCCCAATCTAGGAAGTTCAAGGATCCTGAACAGACACATGTAGGAATTTATGAGACTATTGATGCCCATGCCTGGACAACTAATTTCTGTTAACTGCTCAAAGACTTGATGATTTATTTCTCATGCTCATGTGTCCAACTGGGATCTACTTAGCTGACCTGCAGTCTGTTCTTTGGTGCAGAAGATAATCTGCTTCCTGATTTTGGAAATTCCTCTGATAAACGGGACAGTTTGTAGGGTAGTGAGGTGTATCAGCTCTGTGGAACAGTTTCCACATCCAGTCACTGTCACGCAAAGTAACTGGAGTTCCTAGAAGGAAAATATATCTCCCAGAGCTGTTACAAGAAATACAATTGGTTAACTCTTTCCTTGGGCAACTGGAGTAGAAGCAGAAAAGTCTGACAGGTCGGCCAAGTCCTGAGAAGTTACTGAGGAGTTCCTCTGAAAACAGATGAAGCAGCCCAGGGACTCAAGCAGCTGAAAGATTTGGTCAGTAAATACATCTATTATCTTGTATAGATAGGCTTATCAACAAATCATCTATGACCTTATCATAGACTGGCCATCAGAGATATCACTCGACAGGTGAGAAAACAAGAAACGTGAGAGAAGTCAAAAGGCATCGCCTGGAATTAGAAGGACCACCATACTGCTAAGTTCAAGTAGCACAGCACAGCAAATTGTCACATGGGGCCAGGTGTCCTTATAAGACAATGAAAAATCCTAGAGAGAAAACTCTATCAGAAAGGCCTGGATTTGCTGCAGAATTGAACCTTGTACAATGTCAATCAGTCTTGACAGAACCAGAGCTGGACAAAATTTGTCTACATTCTCTTTCTACACGGGAGAGAGATTTGAATGAACACCCCATAAAAATCCCCACAAAAGTAGTAACTGACTAAAGCAGTTTGCAATGTTGTTCTTCATTGCCTTTTTAGTGGCCCATCTGAAGGAAGGGTGACAGTATAGAGCAGAGGTGGGCAAACTACGGCCCGCGAGACCATCCTGCCCGGCCCTTCAGCTCCAGGGCCACGAGGCTAGCCCAAGGCCCCTCCCCTGCTGTTCCCCCTCCCCCGCAGCCTCAGCTCACAGTGCCACCAGCGCTCTGGGCAGTGGGGCTGCAAGCTCCTGCCGGGCAGTGCTGCGGCGTGGCTGGCTCTGGCCAGGTGGCGCGGCTGCCAGTCCTGCTGCTCTGAGTGGCATGGTAAGGGGGCGGGGAGTGGGGGGGTTCAATAAGGGGCAGGGAGTCCCGGGGGGCAGTCAGGGGACAGGGGGCAGTTGGATGGGGTGGAGGTTCTGGGTGGGGGGGGACGGAGGACGGTCAGGGGACAGGGGGTCCCGGGAGGGGACAGTCAGGGGACAAGGAACTGGGGGGGGAGGGGGTTTGGAGGGGTCGGGGGCCGATAGGGGGCGGGGGCCAGGCTGTTTGGGGAGGCACAGCCTTCCCTATCCAGCCCTCCATCAAGTTTTGGAACCCCGATGTGGCCCTCAGGTCAAAAAGTTTGCCCACCCATGGTATAAATAAAGGTAGGAAACTTAAATCTATGGGAATACTCTCCCTGAGAGTTTTGAGAACTAATCTGTCTGATGTGGATTTTTTAAAATTTTATGTGGAATGCTCAGAAACTTTGGAAGAAAGCTCAGTTCTAAGGGGAAAAATGGAGAAGCCCAAGGTGAGAGGTTTTCCCCCGCTTTCTCTCTTCCCCCGCCTTTTTTTGGTCATGGTACAGAAAAGCATCTTATTGAAGACTTGAAGTAACCATGTCAGAGAGTAAAGCAACTCCCAATCTATTGGGCTATCCAGTCTCACAGACAAAGACTGCTCCTTTTGCAACTAGCACTTTGCTGCTGCCCCAGTCTACAGCCTGCCCCTTGAACGGGCACGATAATGCCTTTTTATTTTTTATTTTTGAACACATT